GTACATGAGTCCAGTTAACTGATGGGAGATATTCTGATGACGTTTTCTTGAGTCTTCGTTCAAGTTTCAAGCTTGAATAATTTATCTTATCATGAATTTATAAATAAGGTCACATCAAATCCAACTTCTAAATATTAATTCTTTTATCTTTCTTAAAGGGCGATAAGAAAATTGAAGACCCAATCAGGGTCATCTCTCCTTTTTGTATTTCGATCAGCAAAAGGAGAAAAGGTTCTGGAAGTGGAAGGGACAATTACCAGCCAACTGGTTCTTCAACATGTGGGAATTTCTACGTGGCCTAGTATATTTTTGTGATAGTTCAACTCTTTAGTATTCAAAATGCTACTTTATATATATATATATATATATATATATATATATATATATATATATATATATATAATTTGATGAAAAAAATGGGTTAGGTGACATGGTGAAAGCTTAGACTGCCCACTGTAAGGAGACTTTTTTAAGTATGAGATCAGCCATTTTGTAGGCTGTAAACAAGCTAAAAGATAGGTGAAACGCATGAAAAACTTAAATTAACAGGATAATCTGCCAAGGAATACTCTATGATGTCTCTAATTACAACAATACCAGAGTCAGGAGCCAATTACAACAATACCTGAAAAAGTAAGAGCTATCCTGAAAAATTTAAGAAGAATCAAGAGAATTTTTGTAATTTTACCGAGATAGTAATAAAATGTTAAAGTGAGAAAAAGTTGCCAAAAGATTTGGATGGAGTTGCTAGAATTTTAGAGAAACAAATATTTTAAAGAGAACGAAGTATCACAATAAATTTCAGTAGAAGGTACTGACTTTTAAAGAGAGAATAAGAGGATAGATGTACTTTGACATAATTGCTGATATTTTAGAGAGAGAATAAAAGAGTCTAGAGAACATCTCAATAGGAAGAGAGTAACAATTTTAGAGAACTTAGAAAAGGAAAATGGAAATTTTGGAGAAAGGGGGGAAAAAAGAAATTTTAGAGAGAGGTGGTAATGGAGGTGGGAGGGTTATGGAAGTGAATTTGATTGTCATGGTGTGAATATGGGATAAACAATGACAGTTATGCAATTAGGTTTCAGTAAGGTTGATTGTGATGAACTGATGGTTATCTACAAATGTCAGAGTGGTGAGTTTTAATGGAGTTGTTAGCAAACAATTAGGATGGTGGATGGTGGCCATGGTGATGGGGTTTCAACCAGAAATGGAGAAGTGATATTCTGGTGGTGTAGGTAGTTGTCAAAAATATTGTAAGTGATTAGGGAGTGAGTGATGTGCTAATTAGATGTGGCTTTATGCTAAGAAGGTCAACAATGGAAATGGTTTAGCTAGTGGAAAGACTAATAGAAAGCTTTAGCTAGAATAAGAAAGATCTTTCTATGATTTTTAAAGATTTCTTGGAAGTTGGTGATAGGGTCTTAAGAAATGTAACATGACGTATCTTAGAAAAGGGAAAAAGTAATAAATAGCACATATTAACATATAAAAGACACATATAATGGAATTGTGACTATAATGAGAAAATATGGGGGGAAAACAAGTGACTTTCTAATTACTATAACTTTACATCATGGATCAGTATGGAGACGTTATCTTTTGTCTTAGTTATGTATGAACTGAAAATATACATTAAGCTGAAATTACTTAGAACATACCATTTACTGGTGCTATTATTTTGATTGATGGAACTAATGTGAGGACAGTCTAATTATAGGTATTGAAAGAAATTCTAGAAAATAGAACTAAATTTTTGTAATGTAAATTTACTTAAACTAGGAATACAGATGAAGATAAAGCAAAATTTGAAAATTATTAGATACTAAAATGCGAATAATTTCATTACCTAGGCTTTATTGTTCATATAGAAGGACAAATTGAAGATGACATTCCTTACAGAATTTAAAACAAGATACATTAAGTGGGGGAGTGCTTTTTTATGTGTAGTTGACGTATACCTTTAAAACTAAAAAAATTATTATATAAGCCATACATAATTTATAGGATGGAATGAGGGGTGATTAACAAACATGTTCATAGATGGAGTGTGGAGAAATGCAAATATTGAGAAAATGCTTGCTAACACAAGAACGAATAAAATTAGGAATAAATACAATTTTCAGATGGTTTTTCTTTCCTGGCAATGCATTCATGAGAGTTGAGACAAATGAAGCAACACACATTGGGAATAAGATAAATTAAAATAAAAAAATGATTAAGTTGGTTACCAATAACTACATATGCAACTAGAAAAAAAAAAAACTACATACGCGACAAAAGTGACATGGTCCACATTGAAGACAATGCAAAGGGAAGGACAAGATAAAACTTAACATGGATTGAGATAGTAACAAAGGAAAGCAAAGTCACAACACATATTCTGCTACAGATATGCAGGCTTTAGAGTGTGATGACACACACACAAACAAAGAAGACAACAAGAACTAATATTATTTAATATTATTTTTTTTCAGTTTTTCACCATGTTAATTCCATTCTATCACTAAGTTACTTTTAGGAAAATTATAAATAACACAACAAAGGAAAGCAAATGTATCAGTAAGCATGAGTGAAGACTTCTCAGGTGATGAGTCCACACAGGGTGAGTAATAAGATACCAGAGAAGTCTGCAATATAGCCTATTCAAGAATTTATACCAGACATAAAGGCTTAAAGGAGATAGGATGCACACGGAACAAATCTCATGGAAAGTGGGTTAAAAAAATAGAAATAAGGCGCACTTGAATTTCCCCAAAACGTAAGAGTGAAAGCAAACAATTAAGGCATAAATATAATAATTTAACCTACCTCACCAGTACTGAAAGCACCAAGCATGGGTGAAGACTTATAAGGTGATGAGTCGACACAGAGCGAGTAGTAAGATAGCAGAGAATTCTGCAATATAATCCATTCAGGACATAAAGGCCATTTGGTTAAAAAATTAGAAATAAGGCACTTGAATTTCCCAAAAACCTAATTAGGAGAATAATTTAAATTACCTCACGAGTACTGTTGTCTACATGATCGTGATCAACCTCTTTGACAATCCCATTACGGTGGGCTTCTTTAAGATTCAAGAGTCAAAAAAACAAAAAAAAAACAAAAAAAAAAACAAAAAATTATTAACTGAAGAGACAAATTACTCATAAATCAAAATTGGAAAAAATTATAACTCACCGATAGTTCGTCATTTTGCAGTGTTTGGCAGTGATGGCGCTCTCTTGAATGGGTTGGAATTAGCACAAACAACTTGTGATTAGGGAATTTTTCTTTAAAATCGATACATTCCCTCTAAAAATGTGCTCTCCCTCACCCTCAAACTCTATGAAAAGGGGATAAGAATGAATTGGGGATTCTTTGAAAACCCTCTCTAAAAAAGTCTGCTTGAACGAATGGAATGTTAGGGTTAGGGGTTTGTTGATCGTTTTACAGAGAAGGGGGAAGACTGAGGGCTGCCTGCACGAATGGAATATGAAAGAGGCGCTTTAGGGCTTCAATTAGGTCATTATAGAAAAGGGCATTTTAGGCAACACATAAAATAGGAAGAAGGGCATTTTAGATAACACACATTATAAATCGTATTTTTTCATGTGCCACCTCAGCTTTTGGGTCAAACACATTTTAGAGAAATATTTGACTTTGACTTAGCCTCTTAGTAAATATGGAGCCCTAACCTCATTTATATGTAATAATCCCAAAGAACAATACCATCAGTTATCCATAAAAATAAAATAAAAACAAAACATTAGCTAAAGGACCCATCGAGGTCTATGGTTGGTTAGATGTTGAAAGCCAGTGGGTACCTCTCCCAACAACTCACAGTTCCAAATAATCAGCTTTTCAAGATGAGGCAATGATCCCTTCTCCATTCTCAACCACCTCAATCTTTCTAAACGTTGAAGCTCTAATGTCTTAAGCTTCTGAAACCCTGTCGCTTTGGTACACAGTTCCTCCCCTTGGTAAGCATCAACAAGTCCAATTTCTATCAGATTGGGCAAATCTTGAAGGGATTGCAATGGATCATCCCTTAACTTGCTATACCGAAGCCACAATTTCACCAGGTTATGAAAAGAAGTTATCCAATGCGGAAAATTTTCTAAACCTCCCCACAAATAGAGCCGTTGAAGAGATCGAGGAGGAGAAGACAAGTGTTGAATATCAACAATCCCATTCCTCCATTCTACAGAAGCTACGTTCAATGATTGAAGGTTACTCAGCTTTTCAAGAGAGAAGCACAAAGCCTTCCCATCCTCCCTTCTCAAGTCCCTAATCCCCAATCTCCTCAGCTGGGTCAGTCTCCCTAGCTCTCCCATTACAATTCCACCATTCTCATGGTTCACTTGAATATAACAAAGTTTTTGTAAGGAAGACAATCCTCCTATTCCCACCATCGCTTTAAAGCCATTGTCAATATGGTGGACGGGGTTGTACACCAAGAGATGACGAAGACGCTGGAGCTTTAAGATCTGAACAGGCAACTCAATTACGTGGGTGCGTTTGAGATCCAAAGTTTCAAGGTTTTCAAGCTTACCTATGGATTTCGGAAGCGTTTCAACCTCTGTACTCCTCAAGCTTAAATACCTGAGATGAAATAGTTTGCCAACTTCATTTGGAAGTATCTTCAAAGAAGCACCCCTCAGGTCCAAAACCTTTAACAACCTAACCCCACCATTGAATAATATAGGCATCAACTTGGATATAGGTTCTTCCACCGAAAACATGAGCAAGGAACGGAGTTGAGGAAAACGATTTGTATGCTGCAAGTTCCCCAAGCTATACTTAATTAATAGGCGGCGAACTTTTTCCGGACATGTTGTGCTTCCTTTGCTTACTATGGCAGCAATGTTTTGTTCTCTCAACTTTGAAGTAATTACTTCACGGAAAAGGTCATGGATTCGAAAATCTCTAAGCCTTCCAATACTATCTATCTCTGCCACTTGGATCAAACTTCTATTAATAAGCTCATTGAGATAGACTTCAGCAACTTCTTCCATTGTCTATCCCACTCTCACTTCCACAAATCCTTCTGCGATCCATAGTCGAATCACTCTCATGCGCTGAATCTCGTAATCCTCAGGAAATAAACCCAAATACAAGAAACATAATTTTAGATAGCAAGGCAAATCATAGTAACTAAGAGAGAGTACATTTTTCATACTCTCAAGTTTGTCGTGGCCTTCTGACTGAGCACCAAGGCTATGATGAAACAATTCCCAATCACGCACTCTACTTTTGTCTTTCGTAGCCAAAACACCACTAACTGCCACAACTGCAAGTGGCAAGCCCTCACACTTTTCTAAGATACTTCGTGAGAGTTCCTCTAAATGTTGAGGGCAGTGGTTGCCTTGGAATGTCTTCCTACAGAACAGAGTCCAAGACTCTTCTGGAGACAATGGTTTCATTGTATAGATGTGATCAGGAGATTCTACACAAGACGTAGAAGCTACACCAACAATACGGGTCGTGAGCAGTATTCGGCTGCCACTATTGTTGTCAGGGAATGCATATTTAAAAGCATCCCATGCTTGTATTTGCCATACGTCATCTAAAACAAGCACGTACCTTCTCTGTTGAAGGAAATCTTTGATTTCCGCTTTCAAGTTGTTCTCGTCCATGGTTTCCAATCTTTGAGGGGCCTGTTGCTTGGCTTCATCGAAGAGTTTCCGAATTACATCTTGGAGAAGTTCTCTGAGATTAAATGATTGAGAAACAGTGATCCAAGTATGGCATTGGAAATGATTCTTCACCTCCTTATCATCATAGACTTTCTTTACTAGGGTGGTTTTCCCCAAACCCCCCATCCCCACCACAGAAACAACTTTGAGTTTGGGAGTGTCCTCCACAAGCCACCCAATCAGCAGCTTCCTGCGCCCATCCATGCCCACAAGCTCAGCTTCTTCCAGTAGGAGTGCATCACCTCCACTATCATACCATGTGTTGTTGACAGTGGTGGAGGTCGAGCCTTGCTCTGAGACCGTGCTGTAATTTTTGATGACCCTCGGCAATTTGATTCACTCTACACTTGATTCTGTGTATCCGAGAAGCAATTCGACAGCGTGCTTTCAAGTTCTTAATGGAGCAAGAAATCTTACGAAGAAAACCATAGAATCCATCCCCGTGATAACGTGAGAAGCGGAGCATGAATTCGTCAAGCACATCTTCGGTGTCATGGGCAACATCACGAACTTGGTCAACCCACGCTTGGAGCCGTGGGTGAATATCTTGTTTTTCATCAGCTACTCTGAGGAAAGCCCTCATGCGCACCAATTCATCTCTGATGGACTCAGCTTCTTCCCTTATTCCTCCCAAGAGGCTTGACTCTTGTTGAAGGAAGATGTCCAAGTGATTGAGCAGAAAAGCTACTACTGCACTCTCAGCCATTCTCTTTGATCTTCTTTATTTCTCCCAATCTTAGTATGAATTTCAGTAAGTAAAAGCCAGAAGGAATTTCAGATAATTTCCTTGCAAACTATGATAAAAGACAATTTTGTTAAACAAAAAGCAAGAGGTATACTAAATGCCAATGAATTTAGCAATAACTTTTCAACGAAGGCAAAATAATATTTGAATTTTATTTATCATACCCTCTATTGTTTAATGAAATTGGTAGGTAAACTTAGTTGTCCTCATTATTTAAACACTCTTGTTAGGTTGCCGGCAGAATAAGTTATTCGAATATGAAAGCAATCGTTGAATTTTGGTGTTTTTGTGGTGTTCTTGAAGGTTTCATATTTGGCAATGTTATAATTATGAAATTATTTTCTAATCAACCAATTAATTTGAAAAGAAAGTTATATATATAAGTATCGGTAAAGTAAAAATGGAATAGAGATTTATATTCAAACAATATTTCTTGTCATGTCATGAAAACCTTTTCTTTCTTTTCTATGACCTATAACTACAGTATTATTTTCAGTAAATATTTCATCATCAGTGGCATTGGTACCATGGAATAAAAATAAAAGATACGTAGAGAGAGGAATGGTAAAACAGTGAGAGTTTTAATAAATGGAACGAAATATTAAGGGTAAATTAGACCGCCTCTGAGATTTGAATAAATTGCATATGAGAAATTCTTTCTTTTTCTTTTTAATATGAAAATTTTTTTGGTTGATTTTCTCATAGATCTCTCTTTCTCTACCTTTTGTGCAATTCATAGTTCTCTCTTTCTCTCCTCTTCGCGCAATTCATTCAGCCTTGATGAAAATCAATTAGCCCGTTGCCTTGTTAAAAAAAAAGAATTAAAGGAATCTTACTAAATATGCATAAACTAAATCTTAATGAAACAATATTAAATGAATAAATAAGAATGTCGAGAGAAAAATTAAACGGGAAATTCCTCAATTTTAAAGTCACTAATAGGTGAATCCAAAACTTTAATTATTGTAACCGCATTAAATGTGAAATACATTATTTAGGCACCATGTTTTACTGCAATATATTGCATGAAAAATAAAAAATAAAAAATAAAAATCGATTAATACAAATGCTTATTGTTACATTTTATTTATTTTCTTTTTTAACAGCACAACTTAACACCGCATATTTAATTTTTTTCTTAATTTGAAAATATAATTGAGAAAAAGGAAAATGTGAAATACCAATAAAGACCCAAACGATACTAGGTAGTGGTCTATGGCCCAAATTTGGTTTATTTGTTAGAACCACAAGCTGAATATAATAACTATAGAGAATGTGGGAGGAAGGAGTCGTAAGAATGAAGTGGTCATTGACACCGCGGGATTACAATATATATATACATTTTGTCTTGTTTGGCTGGCAGAATATGTTATACAGGTAAAGATAATATTTATAAAATTATGTATCAAAGGAGCGTGACACATGGAAAATTTATTCTGACAGCTTATTTCATGAATTTAACAATTACTTTGCAACGAAAGCAAAAGAATATTTGAACACGGTGAATTTTAGTTAGTTTTCATAACCTTCTATTGTTTAATGAAATTGGTAGGTTTACTTTGTATTACTTGTAACCTACCATTATTTTTTAAACACCACTCCTTGTTAGATTATATATGATTTCATATATATATATATATATATATATATATATATTTGTTTAATGTGGCCGGCAGAATATGTAATTCATAATAGGAGTTGATCTGATCAAACACAGATGAAATCATTGACTTTTGGTGGTTTTGTGGGGCTTATGGAAGGTGGCGGCATCCTTTGATATTGAACAATATTTTATAAAATTATGTTCAATTAAAGTAATCCGAGAAGAAAATTATATAGACGGAAAATTCTAAATGTTGGGACTGTAGAACAAATATTTTATAAAATTATGATGAAGATAATCAATATTGAAGCTGCATTGGGTCACTCTTTAAATTTGCCTCACAAATCCGTAACTAGGCACTAATAAGAAGCAATAAGAAACAACATTGCCTCAAATATTCATATTCGGAGTAACTCTCGATCTCTACACCCTCACTCTCCCTCCGTGCCAAATTCATCCAATTAACACACGCGATGACCCTCTCTGCAATAAAATCAATCATTTCATAACACTCCAAGTGAACTATGATACATGACTATGATTTTCATAATGATCATGTATGTATGTAGCTGCAGACTACTATCATAGTGTTAAACAAGCTTCAATTGTTCTCATTATTTGGCAAAACAAAAAAGAACAGACAAACTACAAAGGAAAAGGAAAAGGAAAAGGAAAAGAAGCATCAGTACCAAACAGAGTATCTCTCGGCCAACTTCTTGCAAAGGCAATGTGAAGGAAGTTTTGGGACTTGATTTAGAATAAAGTGTAAGTTACACGGCGCGGAAACTGTTGGTTGATTTTTTTGTGATTAACTTTCCAAATGACCTAGATCAGATTAATAGGTCAACTTGTCTAAGTTTTGTGATTAATTAATTTACCTAAGCAATATAATCAATTTAATATCCATAATTACAAAAAATAAATATTAAAAAGTAAAGCAAGTAGAGTTTGAGAGATGATACCAGGATTTTTAGTGAGGAAACCCCAATTGGCAAAATAGACCAATTGTTGTGGAAAAAACCTTGTGGACTGTGCAATCTAGAGCAAAACGATCCACTATGTTGAAAACAAAGTACACTGAACTTTGACTCAGGCTCACATCCTATCGTTGTACCAAAAACTAATTACTGACAATCCTCTGGCCTTACGACGTCCCGTCTAATATCACTTGACCTCAGACTTATTCTTTATCTCTGTAGAAGGATTGCTGATAGATCAAACAACACTTCTCAGCATTCGATCATTTCAAAGTGTGATCACTTCACCCATTTTCTTCAAAATCTAAATTTGATGTACAAGAAATAGAAATGCTTTTTCGGAATCTTTGAATCTTCAATTCAGATGAGAAAGAGAACAATACAACTAAATCACTCGTGTATATATGTATGTGCTCTCAAAAATAAAAATAAAAAAGATCAGAATGACTTTCTGAACAATATCTCTCAAAAAAGCTTTCTCAAAATAATGAATTTTCGTTTCTTAAAGTCATACCTCAATGTTGAATGAGAGAGGCATTATATAAAAGTTTGGAAGACGTAATAATACTAGGAAGAAGGAGTCCTAGGTCTTAACAAGTAGGCCGCTAAGCATCCATAACTGAATGGTTAAAGTGCCCAACTCATAATTGGCGAATTCGTAGGTTCAATTCCTACTGGATGAGCACCAATGGGACCCTCCAATAAGTCTATTGGAATTTCAACCCCTATTGCGTATTGGTACCTTCTATTGTTTAATGAAATTGGTAAGTAAACTTAGTTGTTCTTGTTAGGTTGCCGATAGAATAAGTTATTTGAATACGAAAACAATCATTGAATTTTGGTGTTTTTGTGGTGTTCTTGAAGGTTTCATATTTGGCAATGTTATAATTATGAAATTATATTCTAATCAACCAATTAATTTGAAAAGAAAGTCATATATATAATTATCGGTAATGTAAAAATGGAATAGAGATTTAGATTAAAACAATATTTCTTGTCATGTCATGAAAACCTTTTCTTTCTTTAATTCCATGACCTATAACTATATATTATTTTCAGTAAATATTTCATCATCAGTGGTATTGGTACTATGGAATATAAGATACGTAGAGAGAGGAATGGTAAAACAGTGAGAATTTTAATAAATGGAACGAAATATTAAGGGTAAATTAGACCTCTTTCGAGATTTGGATAAATTGCATATGAGAAAAAAAATTTCTTTTCTTTTTCTTTTTAATATGAAATTTTTTTTTGGTTGATTTTCTCATAGATCTCTCTTTCTCTACCTTTTGTGCAATTCATAGCTCTCTCTTTCTCTTCCCTTCGCGCAATTCATTCAGCCTTGTTGAAAATCAATTAGCCCGTTGCCTTGTTAAAAAAAAGAATTAAAAGAATCTTACTAAATATGCATAAACTAAATCTTAATGAAACAATGTTAAATGAATAAATAAGAATATCTAGAAGAAATAGATATGCTCTTTCGGAATCTTTGAATATTCAATTAAGCTCCAATTCAGATGAGATAGAGAACAACACAACTAAATTACTTGTATATATATGTGTGTGCTCTCAAAAATAAAATCAGAAAAATCAGATTGATTTTTTGAACAATATCTCTCAAAAAAGCTTTCTCAAAATAATGAATTTTCATTTCGTAAAGTCATACCTCAATGTTGAATGAAGAAGGCATTATATAGAAGTTTGGAATACCTAAGAATACTTGTAAAATAAGTGAAATTCATCCATAGGATTTTAGAAGGAAGTCTGGACCAAAAAGGAATCAAAACAGATTAGGAAACTAAAGTTATCTAAGCTGATAAGAAGCCTTGAACAGGTATTGGATTTGGCTATCGGTTCAGGATCGACAGAGAAGAATCCG